AAACTAAGAATCAAATTGCAAACGATTACTGACATTTTGCTGCTCATTTTGATCTAATTTTTAGTTCTCTGGGCCAATTTTGACAAAAGTTAATGTAAAAAATCGAACTTCTCCGTCTAGTTAGGAATATAGTAAAGTTAGATGTGCAGGTCCTCCTTTATTTCTAGCTAAATTCTCCTGGACCAGAGGCTGGATCATGGGGCTGATGATAAAGGTCTGGACCGTCCGACCCGTTCCCAACCATTTAACTTTGAACTCAATTATCTCGATTTCAGTGAGAGATATCAAAAATTTGTCAACTGATAAAATATAGGCCAAATTATGATAGACAATTGATCAGTTGACCCCTTTTTGATATCTTTTAAAGGAAATGAGATAATTGAGCTCAAAGTGCAAACATATCGTAAACACTAAATAAGCGCCCTCCAACAGTTAACTTCGAGTCCAAATATCACAATTTCTGTCAGAGATATCAAAAAGCGGTTAACTGATAAAATATTGGTAATATTATGAGGAATATTTTATCAGTTGACAGATTTCCGATATCTTCCACAGGAATTGAGATAATTGAGCTTAAAGCTGACGACTTGGGTGAGCGCCAATTAAAGGAAATACGGTAGCTAGCTGGAACATCTAGATTCTCAAACTATTTGGACTAAATTAGTCAGTATCCCGGTGGACCCGCTGAAAAATCTAGATTCTCCAGAACCCCAAAAGTCAGGAGATTTGTCAAAGAAAACCCAAAAAACCCTATAAATCGGTCACCTCAAGCCTAGGAGAGGAGGAAAACGGAAAAAGAGGTGTGGTGGATGGATGGAGGGAGAAGAAGACAAATTGGCTATGTATATGTGCACACGGCCACAATTACGAAGAAGCCATGAGCAATCACCTTGGTAGCCAGAGAAGGGGCACATCTAACGGAGGAGCTTGCCAAGACCTGCACATCTAACTGTGCCTTGCCCTTCTTGAAGGAATCTTGCAGAATGGCAAGTGATAAAGTGTTATCAGTCAAAAAAATAACTTCAGAGGCGCCGCCGCGATCCTATTTCCGCTGAAATGTTCTATAGAAAAATTACAGTATGACGAAACCAATGATATAGCAAATAGAGCGGCGCAAGAGCGCACTATCGTATCTTTTTAGTCTATTTATCGATTTTTCTATGTTTTTTCACCATTTTTTCGCGATTTACTACATCGAAAAACGGTGAAAATCGTCGAAAAATTTATTGAAAGATGTCTTAAAGGCGCAATTGCGAATTACCGTATTTATCGATTTTCTCGATTTTTCAACGATTTTTCATCGTTTTTTCAATGGTTTTCATGAATTTTTCTCGATTTACATCGAAAAATCGGTGAAAAATCGGAAAAAGGGACGAAAAATGTCTTAAAGGCGCAAGAGCGAACTACAGTATTTTTTGAGTCTATTTTTCGATTTTCTCGATTTTTCAACGAATTTTCATCGTTTTTTCAATGCTTATTAATATTTTTAGTGATTTACATCGAAAAAACGATGAAAATCGTCGAAAATTTGAGAAAAAAAAACGCCTAAAAGTACGGAAATTCGCTAATTTTCGCCAAGTGCGAACTACCGTATTTTTTTAGTCTATTTTTCGATTTTCTCGATTTCTCAACGATTATTTCAATGTTTTTCATCATTTTCTCGCGATTTACATGGAAAAATAGGAAAAATGCCTAAAATCAACGGAAATTCGCTTTTGCGCCTACGAATTCCGACTAGAATCTTATAATTCGTAGAAAACAAAGAAATAGAATTACGAAATTCCGAAGGAATTCCTTACGAAACACCCCCCAGTCAATTATTATTATCTCTTTTCTACCCTTGACAATGACACTAATTATAATGTGAGATCGTTCGTTTCTCTCTCGCACGCTCTCTCACTTCCCCACACTATTTCTCTCGCCGATTCGGATTCGCCGGTTTTCAAGGCGAATCGGAAATGAAATGGGTTGGTTGATTGATGGGGGGTTTGGTTTAGCTTTTGTTAAATGAACAATACTTCATATTACAATAAAAAAGGATTTCTGAGAGTTCCTAGGGATGAAGAAGCTGGCGCGCTCTACCGCACTTTTCTGGATTTTTGAATTTTTTTAATTTAAAAGTGCGGTAGAGCACAGGAAAAAGAAATTCTAGAAGTTTCTGAGGGGGAAAATGGGGAAAAATGAGCACAACATTTTTGTATTGACTTTTGGTATTTCCCCACCGCTCCCTAATGTGCACTTTATTTAATGTTTTCTGCTCCCCGACCGTTCGCCTCTGTATTCTCAAGTGCGCGCCCACAGGGTTTGTTCAACTAGCTATGCAAGTGCGCTATAT